AAGTTAAATGACTGACGGAATGGGCTTCCATTATTTCCTTGTCCTCCATGACGGCCAAATTGATCGTATTCTCTTCGTTTATTCTCATCTGATAATGTTTCATATGCTATTTCAGTTTAAAAAGAAAAAAAGTAGAAAAACTTCAGTTGCACGTCCATTATAAAGACAAACACATACACAGAACAACAGCACAGTAAACTCTAGCCACACTGCAGTTACAGCTAAGTGGCAAGCTAAACAGCATGGAGATAAAATAAAGGAAATTAATTACCATATGACCAAATTTTCGACTTCACAGAAGTTTAACAATAAACCTAGATTTTGTAATTGGGGATACCTGAAATGGAATTAGGTTTCTATCTGATCTTGGTCCAAAACTACATCTACTGGTGCTCCAAGGCAGAAATTGACAGATAACATACACAGTGTTACTAGAATGGGTATTTTAAACCCCTCCATTTTCTTACCTGTCATTGGCTTACCAACTATTCTAAATAGCTCAATATTTATTTGGAACTCCTGCTTCCTCCTGTTAGCATATGCTAACAGCTGCTGTATCTAAAGATACACTACATTAACCACTACCTTTCTTCCAAAAGAACAGTTCTGCAGACATGAAGATAAAACCCAGAAGTCACGTTAGCTTTGTCATGCAAAATGCCTATGTTATAATAGTCTATGGGGAGCAGAAACGGGAACACTATTTTTCAGCAAGCCTTTTTATGTTCTTGATCATTCGTTTCCATCAGTATACGTTAATCCCAGAACACATAAGAATGGCGTATTCCTAGGATCACAGGATAGTTCAGGCTGGAAGTGCCCTCAGGTCTCTAATCTAATGCTTTGCACAAAGTAAGGTCAGCTATGAGATCAGACTAGTTATTCAGGGCTTTATCCACTCATTCCTGAAGACTCTCCAAGGATGGGACGTGCACAGCCTCTCTGATCATCCTGTTCAAACACTTGCCTGTCCTCATGGTGAAGAAAGTTTCAAAGTTTTTCCTTATAGCCACATGGCATCTCTCATACTTGCTGCCTCTTGTATTCTTACCAAGAACCACTGAAGAGCCTTGCTGCAGATTGTTTTTAATAAAAACACACAAAATCTCCCCATAAGTGCTGTAAGGTTTCCATTAGGTCCCCCTGAAACCTTAGTAACCCTGAGCTGGATCTTACTAGACAGACCAGAATATAAGGAGAGTATTTGAAATACTCTTCTACTGCCAAAGTTGTCCTCCTGCCAAGTATTTTTTGTAAGAAGAGGCATGAGCCTAGAAGTCTAACAGGCAGGAATGCATAAACTGTGCAAAAGGCCTGCCTATGTGCAAGAAAATGGAAAACTGATACGGGGCATTTGCACCACAGAAATATAACGAAAAAAATTAATCTCTTATTCAGTAAAAACAGTACACTTCAGTTACTGCATTTGTTCACAGATATAAGCCACGTATCCAGTTAAGACTGAGGTTAGCATACATTACCTTCAGCAATTTCTCTAAATTTTGCTTCTGCACCAGGACTCTTATTTTTGTCTGGGTGGTATTTCATGGCCAGTTTGTGAAACGCCTTCTTGATCTGGCGGTCAGATGCATTTTTTGGAACTCCTAAGATATCATAATAGCTCTCCGTAGCCAGTATTAACTCCGTTATCATTAAAATGCAGAGGGCAAATGTGAAGACAGATTGTGTAGTTGCCATTTCTCTGGTTCCTAGAAAGAAAGAGAAATATACATGAACAGGTTATTTCAGGTTCCACAGCAGCTTAAAAAGGCACAACCATAAACTGAAAGAGGAAGACGTGTTTTTTTTTAGGAGTCACTCTGTGACTGACACATCAGCAAGTTCTTTCACCTTTGTTGTTAGTTAACAAACCCCACCTCCCTAGGTTCACAGTCACAGAATACGTGAATGGAAATGATGCAAATTCACATTTCACATCCATCTCAGGTGCTCTTTTGTGTTCACCTTTGGTCTACAGCTATCCTTACCCACACATTTCCCCCCAGTCCTGTTTCCAGTTGTTGAATTAAACATACAGTACCTTCACTGCATGAAACAGTTCATGCTGGCGTACCCGGACTAGCTTTAAACTAAGCCCTACGTTCTAACTTCTAAACTAAGTTCTAGGATCATTAACACAGCAGCTCTAAATTAGAGCACAGGTTTCAAAACCTACCGAATGTGCTGGTAGAATAACTCACTGATTAGCTTGTGCAACATTAAGAACCTGAAAACACAACAGGCCTGAAAAACAACTTTGGGCTGCAGGAAATCACAACTGTTAGATGCTCAGTCAGCTTCAGAAGGTCACCTAACTGACCTAAGGTGAGTATGATACAAGGAAATACTCGTCTAGAGTACAGAGGTCAGTCAAGTAGAACACTATTTTATAACGGGCTGGGCTTGATTTACTTGCATTTTAGATTGTATTCTAAATATAAACACCTACCATACCTCTGATATCAGAGAATTTATCTAATAAATGCCACAGCATATAAAGATTTACACATGCAATTCTCAATGTCTGAACTGAGCTCAAAAAAAACTTCTATACAAACAGCTTAAACTGTAACTAAAAGTTTAACTATTTTTTAACAAATGTATTTGTCAAAAACTTATACTTAAAAAGAATTGAAACTAAAACTCAGGGAAAAAGCAGTGGCATAGATAAGATGCAGAAAAAAAAATCAGCTCCATGTAGCCATATCATCTTTTATGATTTTTTTTTTTTTTTTATAAATGACAAGAGTGGGCTCTTCCTACCAGAAGACAAGCTCAAACTATATTTGAAGGATTTATGCATATAAAAAAGTACGTAAAACATACAGTACCGAAACACGAACATTCAAAGACAGAATGCTGGTTGTCCCCTAACCAGTAGGATGTATGGCAATGCCTTGAACATGCCAGAAATAACATGGTCCCCCCAACCCCCATCAGATTGCACTGATGTGACAGTATCACAATCACAACTCAAGGAGAAGAATTCTATAGCTAAGCGTAGCATTATTCTCCTGAAAGCTGAATAAGCTAACTTGACTCTAGCTTTAATGGTACTCCAACTATACTTTTAGTCAGTACGTGGCCTAAACATTTGTCACTCGAAGGTTTTGAATTCTGTGTATCAGGTACTCATATGAGACAACTCAGACTTTAATAGGAAGTCCACACCCTCTAAAGAAAATGAACACCTAAGCATCAAAATTGGCAAAACTACCATTTCTAATAGGTAAGGCAGGGGGCTAAAACGAATGTTGTAAGGTCAGAGCAAAAAGCTCATGTACGATTAACATTCTCATGCCCTCTTAAGCATTTATTTGGCAAGCAGCCCGCGTGATATCAAGTGGTAAGGAGCAGCAGTTGAAACAAACTGTATTTTGAGCACTGTATCTAGATACCAAATGGACGGTTCTTTTCCATGTTCCCCTTGCATGACACTGGACGTATTCTTAGCACAAGAAGCTTTCCAAGCATTTTCCACATATTTTCACCCACCAGTTCGCTAACCTGAAACTCTGCCACCTGGATGCCAAGACACACGTACATCCCTCCACACTTTTGTGTGCTTTCTTTCTGTTTCTGCTTTGCAGATACAGGCTCACGTCTTCCTACCATGCCAAAGATTACATAAGCATGATGTAGGTGTGAGGAAATGAAATAAAAACCAATCTGTTCCACTTTCTGGAGGCTTAACTCCATGCTTCTACTAGTAAACACCAAAAGGTGCTAAGAATAGTTATTTAACTCCTTCATTAAGGGACAAACCCTCTATTATAACTTCCAGAATTATCAGACCCTGAGAATGTCAAGTCACTCAAGTTTTCTGCTCTGCCTAAGTCCCTCAACTTCTATGACTCTTAATTAAGGAATTATAGCTAGGTTTTTCTTTATTTCTCTATAGCTTTACATTGAGATTTTGGTAATGCAGATCCACGCTCTACTACCCCCGGTTTTACTTGGATTTCTAGGCTTTTTTAATTTGTACTAAAAATTGACTGAATTTTAAATAAATAATAAAAAACGGACACATTTATTTGCACTTAAACTCCCCAAAACCTCTATCAAACCTGTTACGCTTTAAAGAAATGAAGCTTCAGAACACTGGCAGACTTAATGCTGTCCTTGAACAACTCTGTGAAACACGCATGGAATAATAAAACTCACACGAAAAACAAACATAAAGGAAACCCATACATAGGCAGCATTTTAACCTGATAACAAGTCTTAAGTTTACACGATATATTTTGAATTATTGAGTTTTTTTCACCAGAAGATGTACAATATGGAGCGAGCATCTCAGCGTTGCTCATGGCATCTCAGCTACCGATACAGGCCAGGCCCGACCTCCTCCCCGCTCCCCGAGTACCTCTGCTATTACTTTCGCTACAAAGCCTCTTGTCCACGCTGACTCTGCGTCTGCCTCCCCTCCCCATTAAGTAAGTTTCACTTCGGAGGCTCTGCACTTTAATTACCTCGAATTTATCCTCGGTTAAGTACCGCTGAGCTCTGTACGCCTCCTCACACTAAGCTTCACCACAGAACAGCCCCTGTAACTTCCGAAGAGCACTGGAGAGCCCCCTCCGAGCCGCGCACACCCAGCATCAGCCAGGGCTTTACACCAAGGAGCCATTAACCGAGCACCCCGCGCCCCAACCACCACCGGCAGGTGCCCGACCCTCAGCCCCTGCCCTCTGAGGGCCTCCCTCCTGCCTCACCCACTGCTGCTGCGGGCCTGCCGGCGGCCGAGTGCCCGGACCAGGAGCGAGCGGAGCGGCCCCTCCACGCTCCCCTCAGGGGGTCCCACTCCCCCCCCCCACCTCCTCACCTCAGCGCCGCCGTCCCCGCGCGCCGCTCCCGCCCAACGGCCGCCAGCGCGCGCAGCCCCCTCCCTCCCCTCCGCACCCCGCCCTCCCGCCGCTGCTACACGAAGCGCTGCGCCATTGGTCCCCCCGCCACCACGTGACTCCGCGGCGGGCCGCCCCCCTCCCTCCCCGTTGTCCCCGTGACTGCCGCCCCCCCCCCCGCAGCCCCCCTGCCCGTGGTTCCGGGCCGGCCGGGGCCGGGGCCGCGCCGCCATGCCGCGGTACTGCGCCGCCGCCTGCTGCAAGAACCGCGGCGGGCAGAGCGCCAGGGACCGCCGCAAGCTCAGCTTCTACCCGTCAGTGGGCGGCCCGGGGGGCTCGGGGGGAGCGGGCGGGGGCTGGGAGGGTGTGGGGAGGGGAGGGGAGGGAGGAGGGAAGGGAAGGGAAGGGAAGGGAAGGGAAGGGAAGGGAAGGGAAGGGAAGGGAAGGGAAGGGAAGGGAAGGGAAGGGAAGGGAGGCAGCTGCTGCTGTGGGGGCTCGGAGCTGAGCTGCTCGGCCCTGCGAGGGGCACGGAGCCGGTACCGGCGGGTCGCTGTGGCGTTAAGGCGCAGTAAATGCGGGTGTGTGGAGATAATGCTGAATTTCTGACGCTGAGGAGAAAATCGGCTCCGCAGGCAGCCCGGGACTGGGTTTGGGTGAGCCCAGGGCTGAGCCGTGAGCTGGGTTCGCTGCACGGCCGCTGTTCGGCAGGCGGTGTTGATCCTGCATCAGGAAGTCTCACAGGAAAACACCGTCAGAAGGGCTTTAGATCAGATTAAACTACTTCACCTACAACATACACCATGCGTGGTTCAGCCAAAATACGTTATCATCATAAAACAATCATGAAAACGAGTGGAAATACATCTTCTATAGTAATATGAATAATTTGAGTACCACACGGATGATCAAAGCAAGTTGGAGTGCTGGTACATACTTACATTCAAGTGCATGACATGGTCCCTGGTGCTTAGGGACATAGTTCAGTGGTAACACTGGTGGTAGGGTGATGGTTGGACCAGATGGTCTTGGAGCTCTTCTCCAACTCTCATAATTCTATGATTTCAAAATCCCTGCCATTTTATCTAGCCATTGAACTATTTTGTGTTAAAACTGTCACAGTCTGGTAGAAGAGGTGCTGAGACTTGTTCATACCAGATATGGTATATTAGATGCTATAACAGGTAACAGGTATAACAGATGCTATTATAACAGATATAACAGATGCTATAACAGTATAACAGATGCTATTGATGATTTAGGGGGTATTTGAGAGCAGGAGCAGGTTTTGGCAAAGTTATTCTTTAGCCAAAATAATAAATCTCATGACCAGACTTTGTCTCTCACCGCAGATTTTTTTTTGTTTCCCAACGTGAAGCTGGCTGGTGGTGGGGAAGGCAGTGAGTGCTGAGTTGCAAGGGTAATGGCAGTGGAAGCAAATGCTTTCCAGGCCTTCTTGGAGAAGGTGTGTTTGGTGGTGTGACCTTCTACTGAAGGAACCTTGTCCTCTTACTGAGAACCTTCTTTGGACCTAGATAGTAACATCCCAGGCTGAGCTCTGTAACATGCTGTATAATATGTGTAATGCTGCTATTGGGTGTACACAGTCTGAGCAGGCAGCAATTGAAGAGGCTGAACCACTGACCTGTCCTTGAGAGGTTATCTTCTTTTTACTGGTGTTATTCTTTGCATTCCTGCGAAGAGCTGGTTGGATCAACAGTTTGCACCGTTTCCTTGGTAACTTGAAAATTTAAATGGCAACAAATTCAAAAGGTGGGATAAAGGTTGGAAAAGTGCAGCTACTTGCAGTTTTAGGACACTGTGGGCCTGCAGAGGAGGGTCATTGCCATGTGTGGCTGTTGAAAAGAAACCTGTGGTTTCAGGGGTGGGATCTAGGGTTTGCCAAGATGTAACCAACCTTTCATAGAATTTGGGTGACACACAGCCCCTCGGCACCCCAGGCTCTCTGCACAGCTTCTGTTTTGTGGGAATACCTCACTGCTGCACCATTTTTCGTGCATTGAAGTTCAGTTAATGTTATTCTGGTCTATTAACATACAATAACAAACATCATAGAAAGAACTGGTTAATTAAAAGGAAAAAATCAGCTATTTAGGGAGAAAGACAAAACTGGTTTGTAATGTAGGCACTTGTCACATCTGGATGGTTGTCACCCCCTCATACTACCAACATCTAATACTCTTTACGTCCTACACTTATGATTAGGTCAGGTTTGATGACCAAATGAATTTCTCTTTTACTTAAAGTGCAGTGTTTGTTTTTTTTTTTTTGTTGCAGTTATTGTTCATGATTCTGTGGAATATTAGAGTATTGCTTTCTTAAGAGGAGTCATTTATTGGTGTTCAGAAATCAAGTTATGTTCTATGTATTATATGTGATTATAGGCTAGTGTAGAAAGAAACTTAGCACTCCCAGCGAAATCTGCAAGCACATTTCAAGTACTTTGATGTCCGTCTAGTAAGAGCTGAGAGTTCAGGGTGGTCTGAACATATGTGTTGCCATTACCCTAACTGCATGACTGGACATGCATCATAATGAGCCTTTAATTTCCCTTCAATTTTTGGGTCTTGTGATTCATTGAGTAAATTACATATGTTGGCTCATTTTCTTTTAACTTAGCTCGCTTTCCCATGTAATATGACTGTTTGCATATACTTTCAAAATAAATTTCATATATTTTGCAAGTAGGTTAGAGGGTTGAAAAGTTAGTTATGGGTTACATGACATTGTTGGGATACTCAACACTGTAAGACAGCTTAATTTCTGAAACCAAAAGTAAATGCACACCAGCACAAAACATTTTTACTTTTTGAACAAAATTTAGATCCTGCACTGGAAATGCTATTCACATTTATAAGTTATCAGACAACCCTGAATATGGTGTATGCTAAGAGACACTTAGTCAAAGAAAAATAATGACAAAAGGATTGGGTAATAATTTTGTGTAGTAAGGAAAAAAATACTATCTATAAAATGAGGGCCAGGTCTAACACTTATTTAATGAAGTATTTCATCAGACTTCAGGAGAACTACATTTTGAGCAAGTATTGCAAAATCAAGACTTTTTAAACACCTTGGCCTAGGGCTTTGAAGCCCTTTACCAGCAGAAATCAATAGAAATTCCACTATTGAACTCTGGAGCAAATATCCAAATAGAAACTGTTTTGATGGTTATTAGATTAACATGTAATTGACATCCTGATTAGCTTTTCATATTTAGAAAAAAAAAAAAAAAGAAAGAAATTAAAATCATTCCTTTCAAGAGAATCAAGTAAGGAAGGACAGCCTCGTAAGGAACAACAGAATGTTCTTTGTTTATAAAGAAAACAGAAAGAAAGAAAGAAAAAAATAACAATTCTTTGCTTTTCTGTTTCTTTTTTTTCCCCAACTGTTTTAAAAAAGATTTCCACTTCATGATAAGGAGAGACTTGAGAAATGGTTGCGGAATATGAAACGAGATGCATGGACTCCAAGTAAACACCAGCTTCTATGCAGTGATCATTTTACCCCCGATTCCCTTGATGTGCGATGGGGTATACGATACTTGAAACATACAGCTGTACCAACAATTTTCTCTTCCCCAGATGATGAGGTAATGTGTTCCTATCTTTTATCACAGTAGAAAGCTAACCAACTATTTCTGTAATAAAAATGTGCTAATTGTCTATAATATACTCATAGTTTATTTAAAAAATACCTGCCCATCAAAATGTTTTGCCAACAGAACTGACACAAAACTAGTGTGTGATTCCACTGTATAAAGGAAAAACAACTACCCATACTTTGTGTGGAGATTCGGTATTATTTTTTAATTGGAAATTCCAAAAGTATGTTCTTTAGAAAATTTCCCATAGAAAAGTTCTTTCACTATGTGGTTACTATTAATATTCAATTTTTTAAAGGTCTTCTATTAACTAACTGTACATAAATGCTGACTTTAGAATGTTTTTGTTTCAAACTCAGCATTTCTCTTTCCTGGCCCTAGCCTCAAACGCCTAAGAGCTCAGGAGTGTAGGCTGTTAAAGGTATGCCACAAGGGCTATTCCATCTTGTCTTTCACAGAGTTAGGGAACTGGTGTGTTGGGTTTATGTGGCAAGGGCTTGGTAGCAGGGTGGTGCTGTAGGGGTGGCCTCTGTGAGCAGAGCCCGGGATCAGCCCCATGTCAGTCAGAGCCAGCTCCAGACAGCTCCAAAAAGGACCTGCTGCTGGCCAGAGCTGAGCCAGTGAGCGATGCTGCGTGGGCCTCTGGGAGAGCAGAGATAAGAAAGGGGAAAGCAGTGCAACAGCAGCTGGGAGAGAGGAGTGAGAAAATGTGAGAGAAGCAGCCCTGCAGCCCCCAAGGTCAGTGCAGCAGGAGGGCAGGAGGTGCTCCAGGCACGCAGCAGCAGTTCCCCTGCGGCCTGTGGAGAGGCCCCTGGTGGAGCAGGCTGTCCCCCTGCAGCCCATGGGTCCCACATGGAGCAGATCTCCATGCTGCAGCCCGTGGAGCAGCCCCCGGTGCAGCAGGTGGCTGTGGCCTGGAGGAAGCTGCGGCCCATGGAGAGCTCCTGCAGGAGCAGGCTCCAGGCCGGAGCTGCAGCCTGTGGAGAGGAACCCACGCAGGAACAGGGGGTCTGGGGGGAGCTGCCACCCGTGGGGGACCCGTGCTGGAGCAGTTTGCTCCTGGGGAATGGACCCCGTGGTACCGAGCCATGTGGGAGCAGTTCTTGGAGAGCTGCTGCCTGTGGGAATCTCAGGTTGCTGAAATTAATTCAGAAGCAATTTAATTCATTCTTTCAAAATCCCTAGGATTGCTGAGATGTTAAGTATCATATTTGAAATTATATAATTCATTTGGTTTTCTTTAATTTTATCTTTGCATACATTTTTCTGTCACTTAAGACTGAAGTTTGGTGGGTTTTTTTGTTTTTGTTCTCCAGGAAAAAGACTCTTCTCAGAACAGCCCACAAGAGATAAGGAGAGAAGATGTGGAAGAAACAACTAAAAATGTAGAGTCCGAGAAAGTACCTGTATCACTTGAACTTTGTAGACCAAAGAAAAGTCCTGCAATGGCAGAAAATCTAGATGAAAAAGCAGAAGTAGTCTGCTCAATTGCATTGAGTAAACCTTTACAAATGCAAAAACTACAAAACAGAGAAGACTTTCAGGCAGACAGTGTTATTCCTGATAATTCATCTCAGCAGCATATACATCAGCCTGAGCCTGTTTTATTGGCAACAACAGTCCAGAACGTGGAAACTGCCAGTGTTCATACTTCTGTGGAGGATTCAGTAAGTTGTGCAGCTACAGTCTTGCAATTTTCAGACCCTGATTACTTGAATTCGTCTCTGAAATTGAACAATGCTTTGGGTTCAATAACTGACTATGCACTTGAAAACCCAAACTCACACATTTTAGGCTGTTCTGTTGAAGTACAGCCTACAAGTGAAAACACAGTTTTAGTCAGTACGGTCACACAAGCTATTGAACAGTTCAGTGGAGGTGAAGAATCTGTCATTGCCATCATCCTACCAGCTGAGAGTCCAAAAGAGTCTGAAATAATAGATAGTTCTTTCCCAGCTATTAAGGAAGAATTTCTCGACACGGAAGAAGAAGAAACAGATAAATCTGTGTATGTGAATGTGTATAGTGGAAGTGAAGTGTTACAAACTGAGCATTCATACTGCAAACAAGACATAGACAGAGAGCTCCTCTGGCAAAAAATTTCAAAGCTCCACTCTAAGATAACTCTACTTGAAATGCAAGAGATACAAACTCTGGGGAGACTCAGGTCCTTGGAAGCTCTTATTGGACAACTGAAGCAAGAAAACCTTATTTCTGAAGAAAAGCTCAAGATGGTAGAAAACTGCTTCACAACACTTGAAGTGACTATGATACAGTAAAGGCTTTCAGTTACTGTTCTACAGTATCTTTTCAGCCTCTTGACTGCCCTTTTGAACAAAATAAGTTTTGATTCAGTCATGCTATTTTAAATATCTAATGCAAATTGTGTGAATAGCAAATACTCTAAATATTACATCAACTCCTATCAATGCTAGATGGTAGGCCATTGCCCATAAAATATGACTTGCAAGTGAGCTTTAAAGGAAAAGCTAAAATTGTTAGTCTTGTTAAAGTATGTAAAGTGAATCAATAAAAATAAGTTTAACTTTTCCAGATGCAGGCTTCCCTGAAACATGCAAATCTTGCATTTGGGGCAGCAGCAGAATGGACAGTGTAACTGAGTAGAATGGAAAATTATAAAACAGCTGTCATAAGGAAAAAAAAAAGTCTCCTGGTTCTCTTTCAAACCAGTAAGGAGGTACGTAATACACATTGTCCAGTGAGGCCACAATTACTCTTTGGTCTTCTGTTCATCTAGCATTAATTCTGATAGCTTTTTGTACATTTTGACCTTATTAAATTCGACCATATTATTTTTTTCTGCAATAAAAGGTGTGTCCATTCATTTAGTTTTGTTTTGTTTTTTATGAGAATATTACTACAATGAACAGGTGCCGCTCCTCTTTCTGTGCTGATGGAATATTCCACTCAAATGAAAAGAAACAAATAAATAGGGATTTTTTTGTGGTTAGTAAAAAGGAAAACTAAATATTCAGTGAGTGCTATCTGCTCAGCTTTGATCATGATGCAATCTGTGTCTGTATATATATTCATGTACACTGAATAGTATACTGAAGAAAACAATGCTTTATAGAGCAAAGGGACAGAATCTGTCACTTTTTCTATAGCTAATTCTTCAAGAAGTGGGATATTGAGATTAGAAATCTGCTCCCCTGTATTGATTGTATTAACAGTTTCTAGTGTGCAGGACATGCTTATTCTGTCAGCATGCTACCGATTAGAGCTAGAGTTCAGTGTGTAGTGACTGACATTCTTGAGGGGCTTTGATGTACTTTCCTACTATTCAAGCATCTCTCCCACCACCGGTTCAGTATAGGACCGGACCTAATGTGTTTCTTTGCAGTGAATTACCTGTGCTCTCTGTTGGATTCATTCTGAAACTTTCCGGGGAATTTTTTGATTATTAAATTGAGGATCCAAGCAACAGTGATTACAAAGTTGACCTGCAACTGGAGAAGTTATAAACTAGTAAAATTTCAGAAAAAAATCCTGATAGCAATACTGAGAATGTTTCTTGTGGCATAGAGGCATAGGTATATAAACTTGGGAGAAAAAAGATCCTTACTTTTTTTTTTTTTATGGACTATCTTGGGAATACAACAGAAAAAAAAAACTTAGTAAGCATGTCACCAAGTTTATGAATTTCTCTCCTACAGGATAATTTGAGCTAATGAGACTTGGGTGGGCTTAAATGTTCCTCTGCCTTTCTACTTTGCACACAACTTTTTATACCAGATAGGTCATTGTTTATGCTTAAGTTAGCTATTCTCAGCTGAGCCTATTACCTTAGTTGCTGCCCAAAGTAACCTCTACTCTTTTCAAGCAGGGTATTACAGCTTTATTATTCTATTTTTTTAAATTTATTTTCTCATGTCTAACAATAGATGTTAAATAATATGACAGCCTGTTAACCTTGAGTGTTCAAGTAGAGCTGTGTGAATTTACCAGTTTTCCTTAATTCTGAATTTTATGCTTGATTGCTCTCTGTTAGATTATAGTCCCTCTCATCCAGTGATTTTTGCAGCACTGATCAGCATCACGAACTTTACTTTGAAAAAGGCCAGAGATGGAAAACTAGATGATTTTGCATGTAGCCTTCCTCAGAGCCAGTCTTGCAGTGATGAAGAGGCTGAACCACCACAAAACAGTCTGCAGTTTGACCAGAATTGGTGCTTTGTTTTGTAAATGGTTGTTGCAAATTGATTCCAATAAATTATTTTGGGCAGAGAAGTTTTATATTCATTTTAAAATATTTAGAATTATAGCTGACTATGTTTGCTTCCAGAAAAATATGACTAAGTTCTTAGCTTCAACAATATGCTGACACTGACTTACTCAAGCTAATCATTATAAATACAGGAAAAACTGCTGGAAATTGCCTCACTCCCGTGATTAGGTGCTATGTGTATGTCTTGTTCTCAGCATTTTCTGATCATAAAAATGTGTAACCTTTTTCACTAAACCTAAGGACTTTCAGAGATACTATGTTATTCCTTCAGATCCAATGGAAACTGCTCTTGAGCAGCTGCAGCTCACTATGGTAATAGTACATTAAATCATTAAACATTTTGTAATGTACCCAACTTATAGTGATCAAAATTAAATGATCTTATTTGTCTTTTCAATATTTTTGCATTTGCACCTTTTTTAAAAAAAACATTTGACTGCTTGTTTCCAGTGATTCAATTAATAATTTCATCATTTTACAGATTTAAGAGGCGTCAGCAGTTTAATACACATATTGAACTGTTAAGCTGTTTCTCTTCTACTACTACAGAAATATGGCATTTGGCTTTTCCCTAGATCTTCATTTAAATTCCACCAACTTTAATAAAGTCACGGACAAGCAGTGTCGCTCCGCATGGAATAAACTGTTACTCATTTCCCCTAGATTTCCATTTTCTTTACAAGGTGGAGTGAGGTGTTTTGTTTAACACAGTCTGGATGCAGTAGAGTTACAGAGGACATCTTCTTTCTGTTCGTATCCGGGAGTTCTCTTCTGTGCTTTCTTGCATGAGTGGCACTAGGTGACAGCACTCCTAGATGCTTCAAGGGCATTCATTAGGAGTCTGCCAAGACTGTTATTATCTGTCTGAAGAATCTCATTACTCCCCTTTACCTTAGTGAGGTTGTAGTTATTCTTCCTTTCTGCTTAAACCCTATCCTACTCTGAGATGTGGGTTGTACATTAGAAAACCTGGATGCTGTTTCAATTGGTGCTGTTCTTGTCAGTAAGCTTGAAGCTACATGTTGCATTTTAAAAAAAATTATACTTACTCCATCTCCCAACGTTTTAATAATCTGATTTCCTCAATACCTAACTGCATGTTGGTAAAAATGCCTTGTACACTACTTGATGCTTCTTCTCACTAGATAATGCTGCTTATCTGCAAGCCAGTGTCACACACACAGCACCTCACTCCAGCACCTCAGTCTGTATCCAGTGCTTAGTAAAGCACCAGGCACAGCCTGCACAGCCCTTCTGTGTCACAGCGACGTGGTGTAACGCCCACGGACCCCATCACACAACTAGGTGAGTACTCGTGCAGACAGGGGTTGCCTGTATGCCCTGGATTCCCGCAGCCCTAATTATTTAATTGTGTCAATGACGGTGGTGCCATTTGCTGGCTAGGATGCATTATTTCCAGAGTCACTGAGGTGAGTGTTGAAACTGTGTCACTCTTAACATGTTTAGAAGTTCATCAGTGCAGTAAGTCAATGAAACTGAGCTCCTGCTTCCGTGAAACAACGTACTGAGAGATACTGGGAAAGCCCCATGTGGTTTTGGGGCATACCCAGGAGACACTGTGAGCAGCAGCCCAACCATTTTCTATCCTCCCAGGCAGAACTAGAAAAAGTGCACACCCAGCCATGCAAGACACAGGTGATGCTGAGCAACTCTGTCCTCTTCCCTTCTGTAAACTCCTCTAGCAGGAAGCCCTGCATCATACAGCAAGGCTTGGGGGGAAGTGTGAGACCTCGTGAGAGACGCTCAGCATCATGCGTGGGACAGGGAGGAAAGAGCAGGCTTTGGCTTTTAGGGTTCCTGCCTGGGGAAATTTCCATATTCAGGATCCCACAGGACGCATGAGCTACCAGCACCAAGGCAAGGGGAGGAAAAGGGGAGAATTATACGCTATTGTGACTTAAAATTGGACTTAAATTTAGATACAGAATATATTTTCTTTTGCTCAATTACCCGAGAATGTTACGACTTACTGACACAAGCTGGAAATTTTAGAATATTATTCACACTAAATCATATAAAAATATCACCACTCTATTTTCTCCTTCACTGAAATCAGTGTGATGACTTTCTAATTTACCAGGCCATTTACTCCTGCAGTAAAGACATGAATTTCTCCCAAAATATTTTCTAAATCAAACTTTTTTTTCTTTTTTTTTTTTTTTTTCCCCAGTAAGTAACTCTTGGCATTATTAAATATCATGGATAATATTGCTGAAAGCCTGTCACTGTTTTAATATCTGTCTTTCCTGAAGAGGACAGTTAGAAGACCATTTCTGAAAGCATAAACACAGTTTTGAAGCATGTGCCGCATCCTTTCTAAGACATTAAACTATATAGATTATTGCAGAATACATATTATTGTATGTATTTATACGTGGATATATATTGCATATATAAAAAAGCAGCGCTCCGTATAAACAGCAGGTGGTGCTACTGGACTGCTCTCGCTAATCAGCCTAAAGCATTTTATTTTTGCATGGGTGTCAGAAACACAAGCAAACAAATTAACTATTCAGGGATTTTTCCCTATGCTTTATATGTATCTTTAATAATAAAGTAGGGTAGTATCTGTGTAAAACATTATGGCTAATTTTCCTCAATTTTACAGAAGTAAAGCTTCAGAGAAAAAACTCATTTATATTCTGAGCATAAAATGTGAAATTCGAGAGCTTTCTGCTCAAGAGAGTCGTAAAAGACGATCTATTCATTGTCCTTTTGTGGAGCATGATTGCATTCATCATATGTTGAAGTGGGTCAGTGATTAAAGTTTGAATTCCATAAACAGTTTAGCGTTGCTCATTTGCATATTAATCAGGGTAATGGTGTGAGTGTTTAATCACGGCCTTCATCAAGAATGTCTGTTTTGCTACACAAGCACTGTGGTTGTGTTTTTCTAACTGGGAAGATACATGCATATCAGCTTTATGCATGGCTTAGTCCCCTCTTAAAATATTGTGGAACAGACTGTACTGTAGCGAATATACAACTTGAGATGATACAAACTGCATCAGTATAGGGGAACACTGGTCCTGCAGACTCAAACGATTTTTTTCCTTCTTATTCCAGTGTTACTTTCAAAATATAATGGATAATAAGGTGTTACAGTGCAGGTTAGATATATCTGTATTGTGGTTTAACCCTGGCAGGCAGCATTAACTCTATCCCAGCCAAAACAAGGACACCCTATGGCTTTCTGAATGGATAGAATAGGTCTAAAAACAGGAATTGCAAAAACAGACATTGAAGAAAGCCATGCCTAGGTAAACTTCGGTTTTGGAGGCATAAATTTGCCTCAAGGCTGGTTGCATCTTCTCTGGGTGCACAGCCTGCGGTGCTCAGCCTGTTGTTCACTGATCAGATCCAGCCACCTAACAGAACCAGGGAGGCACGATTACACCACAGCCTCCTGAAAGAAGGCATCTCACCTGACTCGGGGTGTCTCCATCATGAGGTGCTCCTCCATTAACCAATACTGAATACCTTCATTAAAAAGAAAAGAAGTGAGGAAATGCCCATTTATCTACTGATTATGGCCAATGAGATGTTCTAGACACATATTTCAGTTTTATTTTTTTATTTTGTTTTGTTATAGATACTTGGAGTTAGCTAAAATCAATGTGACCTTGTGTTTTGAGAGTTACGTAGTTGTTAGACGGGCAGGTTAGGAAGACTAAGTCCTAATTTAAAAGCTCTTGGCAAGGCAATTCTTCCAAATTGTGCTTCGATTTCCTGTACAGCCAGTGACAAGAGGAAGGTCCTTCAGAGCTTCTAGAGGAGATCCTGTTCAGATATGTCATTTATACAGTTACAACATTTTTCTTCTGAAGATTTTGAAAGAATTTTTTCTCTGTATAGAAAATGTGGACAAGTTGGAAAACTCATTCAACAGATTCATATTCTCTTCAGAGTATCGAAGACACATTTCTCAGTGCTGCAGAACATCCTCACAAGGTGCACATAAGAGCTCTGCGTTGCTTCATGAATAACATAAACAGATAATCATCAGACACCTTATAGCCCCTTGGGATGGAAAACAACCTTGTGCCCACTGTAAAGTCATGCCAATGTAGTAGCAAACACCACATGGAGCTCTTTTTCAGCCATGCATGTTTGGGTAAGGACATTATAGATTGTAAATGCAGATAGTTTGACCTTCACTTTGAGTCAATAGACTACGAGGACAAACAAGAACAGGTTTGGGAGCTCTCAATGACCAGAAAAGTTAGTTTTTAGAGATGAGGGATAATAAAGATACAAGGCCTGTAGTTTCACAGCATGCAAAATAAATCAAACCCTTTGGATCTCATACTTGTAAGCAGATGTTATTAAATTTACATCAAAGCCCTTTATTGAGTGTTTTACATGATGAGAAGTGCTGTACTTTGTAAAGCTGGCTTTGGCTACAGGGCAGTTTCAGAGCACTAAGCCCATACTGCCTCAGTGCCTATTGCCCAGCCATTGACACTCTCACAGCACTGCGTTATCTGGCCTTGCAGAATGGCCATTAGTTCTCAGGAAATGCCCAATATTCTACTGTCACTAGATAAGGGTGTACAACAGCTCACACTCTCTCCAGGTCACAGCCCCAGCAGACTCCTACAGAAAGCCTTTCACACCTTGCTACCAATGCAGCAGCTTCTCTCCACCTCTCTGTTACAAGTTCAGTCCCTTAAAAAGGGGGAAATCGGCTTTTCTTGTCCCTAGCCCGAAAGTAGATTAAATCAGGCAGTTCCTACTTTGGGTCTGACCTTCAGGAAGTCCAGGGGTGGAATTAAAGCCTTGTCTGGCTGATGTTAGAGAGGGTGTCTGATGCCTTGTGAAATTACTGGCCCTGAAAGTTTGCTGTGAAGTTTCCCGCTTAGGACCACATCAGGGCAGTGCACCACAGCCCCAGAAGCCAGGGGCTTACCCCAGCACAGCTCTGCAAGTCCTCTGGTGCAGAAGGAGAAAATTTGCCCCAAATATTCAAGGTTTGGCT